GACTGCAGGCTTGATCCCCAGCAGGGGGCGTGCAGGAGGCAGCTGTTTGATTTTGATGTTTCTCTCTCCCTCTATGTTCCTCTCTCTCTAAAATCGATCCATACTAATAAAAAGATAATATGCTAATTAGATCAGGTTGATCAGACATCTTCTGGATGTCTGACTTCCTTCTGGACAAAGCCACAGTGGTGGGGGCCTAGGCAGAGGCAGTTAGGGGTGATCAGGCTGGCAGGGGAGGGAAGTTGGGGGTGATCAGGCAGGCAGGCAGAGTGGTTAGGGGCAATCAGGCAGGCAGGGGAGCCATTAGGAGCCAGCCATCCTGGATTGTGAGAGGGATGACTGGCAGTTGGACATTCCCCAAAAGGTCCCAGATTGTGAGAGGGTGCAGGCCGAGCTGAGGGACAACCCCCCTCCACTGTGCACGACTTTCATGCACTGGGCCTCTAGTTTAAAAATAAAAGAAATGAAGGACTTATAAAGTTTCTATTACAGTTCCTATCTGAGGTGATATTCTAATGAAAAGAGAAAGTAAATTCAAGAAAAAATTACGAAGAAGCAGCAGTGAGACCTATACAATAAAGAGGGTGAATGTTACAGAATGTAAGTTATACCTCACTGTGCTTAACTGAAGGAAGAACAAGAGGAGGAGGAGGAGGTGGAGGAGGAGGAGATGACAGTATTATAGTCAGGATCAAACAAGAAAACCTGCTATCATTCCTGTTACTCAGCATCTATCTGGAGATCCTGTGCAACGCAATTTAAAAATATATAGTCTATTAATATGAAAAGCTCTCCACGATCGACTATGAACTGAAAAGTGAAAATTAAGTGGCAGCAATAACACTTGATATGATCTATCTCTATAGAGATACCCTCCACATTGATAAAGTCTGCAGTGAGGTCTATGATGGAAAGAAGTAGATAAGGGAGACTTTGGTTTTCTTTGTGCTTTTTTGTATTCAAGAAATAAGGTGATTATTTGTTCACCAGTGTTCATAGAAGCATTATTCACAACTTAGAGGCTCGATGCACAAAGATTAGTGCAAGAATGGGCCTTCCTTCTCCTGGCTGCCGGCACCACTTCCACTCCAGCCAGACCCACCTTTTTGCTCAGGCCCGGAGTCGCCTTTCTGCTTTCCCACGCTGCCCAGATGCCCGAAGCAGCTGGGGTGGTGCAGAATGCCTGCATCGTCTCGAGGACACAAGCATCCTGCCCCACCCCCAGCTGCTCAGCACCTACAAATGTATGCAAATTAACTCACCATCTTTGTTGGGTTAATTTGCATAGCCACTCCTGATTGGTTGGTGGGTGCCGTGAGTGTACAGTCAATTTGCATCTTACTCTCTTATTAGTGTTGATAGCTAAAGGTGGAAACATGTCCACCAACAGGTGACTGGGTAAACAAATTATGGTAGAAACATACAATGGGATATTATTCAGCCTTAAAAAGGAAAGAAATTCTGGCACATGCTACAAGGATGAACTTCAAGGACATGATGCTAAGTGAAACAGACCAGACATAAAAAGACAAACACTGCATGATGGCACTTACATGAGGTCCCAGGGTAGTAAAATTCATAGAGCCAGATTGCAGAATGGTGGAACCAGGGGCTAGGGTGAGGGGGGAGATAGGGAATGGAGAGCTCATGTTTAACGGATACAGGGTTTCAGTTTGGGATGATGAAAAAGTTCTGGACAGGAGTAGTTTATAGTTGCACAACTATATGAATATACTTAATGCCACCACACTGTACACTTAAAAAAGTTAAAATGGTCTTATATTATGTATATTTTACCCAACTAAAAAAATGATAAATAAAAATAACGATGCATACCATTATAAAAATAATAATAATAATAATAAATAAAATGAACTGAACCAATGCTGAAGGATCCCCTTCATTTAAAAACATATACACTGGTCAATATATTACCAAAAAAAATGTCAATATATAACCAAGCTCAGAATAAAGAATGAGTCATACAGAAGTGCCCAGAAACAACAAGGGAGCTACAATGCGGAGACGAAAGCAGAAGCCAGCCTGGAGGAGGCCCACGGAAAACTCAGATGGACAGAGGCTCCGGGACTAGAGGCTGAAAACCGTATGGTTCACTCCACACACGAGGCCTCAGCCTGTGGGAGCTGGTGAGGCACTGAAGTGAGCCCCGTGCACAGCAGGGATGGTGGCAGGGCTGCTCCATCCATAAAGGCACTCAGAAACACAGCACTCCTTAGGAGGAGCAGCACGGAAACCAATCACAGATGGCAAGACAGAAAAAAAGTCACACGTGAGTGAGGAAAACCCTCAGCTTCTGCCACCTGTGGGCATGGGGTCTATATGTGCACCGCTCACTAGCATGGAGACGTGAAACTGTAAGCTGAGCATGCAAAATGTCCAAGACTGGGGAGAGACTCCGGCCCAGCAGAGACACACCGCCACGTTTCAGGGAAGGGGACTTGAAGGAGGCAGGAGTAGAGCTCTATCTGTGCCACCAGTTTTGGTACCAGCCTTTCCCATGGGGCGCTTGCAGGCGTTCCTCTCCCCGCAAGAGCCTCGGAGCCTCTCCTGAGGCCCCCGCCTCAGCCTGCTTCATTGCATAGCTTTCCTCTCTGCTGTGAGCTCCTAAGAGAGTGGCGATGCCAGTCTGCCCCTGTTTACTTCCCCCGCTGCTCGCCCTGGGTTGAGCCCGTTGTGGCTCCACAAATGACTGTTGAAATGAATGAAATTAATGTGTGTGTTCTGTCGTGTGGTGGGAATTCACATTAGGAGTCTCCTGGGGAATGGGGCTCAGAAGGAGCTGGAAACACGGCCGGTTCCCTCTTCCACTCCTCCTCTTCTCTCTCACCCTCCTGCTCCCCGTCTGTGCTGGGAGGAGACAGCAGCAATTCTCAACTCAATAAAGCACTGCCCCTCATTCGGCCTCTCTTGAGTACCGTGAAGCGTCGGTTAGCATGGTACCTGAGCACCATCTTTCACTCTTCTTCCCGCTTCCGGCATCCTCCTGGCCTGCTACTGAATGCACTTGGCAAGTATTAGCTCATTTAATCCTCATAGCTTTTGACCTAGCCTCACTCTGCAGATGAAGAAGCTGGGGCTCAGAGGGGTGATGTGACTTTCCATGGCCACAAAGCCACAGACCGGCAGGGCCAAGGTTCAAACCCCAGACCTCTTACATTCCAAAGCTGCAGCTGCCGCCTCTCCCACCAATATCCCTCGCTTCCTTCTCTCCTGCCCTCCCAGTCACATTGCCTCTCCCTCACCCACTCCTTAGCTCATACTGTGTCTGAGTCACACATTTTTGGCAGACAAGTGAGGCTGGTGGCGGGACATGGGTGACCAGATGGGTGGCGAGTACAAGTCTGGGTTTGTCTTTTTGTAGCTACCAAGCATTGTCCTGGGGAAGCACCTGGAACCCATGGCCTCTTGTGGGCCCCCTGCAGGGTCCCCAAGGTGAAGGAAAGAGCAGACGAGGGTCCATCTGCAAATGTGTGCCTGTGAAGACCAGGAAACTGGCCCTGGACTGGCCTTGATGATCAGACTCAGAACCTGCCTTCCTGTGAATGTGACAGTGGCCAAGGGGTTTCATGACCTCAGTCCTATGTGGGAGGTGAAGCCTCTGTCTGGAAATCAAGAGACTAGAGATCTGAGTGTGATGCTGCGGTCAACTTGGAGGGCCTTGGGCAAGACAGAGCTTCCCTGAGCCTTGGGTTTCTTCACTTGTCTAATGGAACTACCACCCCAGGCCTGTCCGTTTCTCAGGATGGGCCCTTTGCCACGGGTGGGCTCAAAACCAAGAAGGAGGGATGGGGTGAGGAAAGGAGCAGAGGCTGCAGGCAGCACAGACAGTGCAGAGACGGCCAGCATCAAGATGTGTTTTTTCTCTTGGGCTGGGCCAGCGCATCTCACCAAACAGCTCCTGATAGGATGGCCTTCCCAAGCAAACAGCGCTGACCCAGACGGTGACTGAGGCATTACAGGACCAGGAGAGGAAGAAAAGGGGAGATGGGGAAGAGGGGAAATACAAGGAGTGATATAGAGAATGGGGAGGAGGAAGAGAAAGAACTGGCCTCGGGATGACAAATACGAAGGTTACCACCTACATCTGGGATAGGTGGGATCCACCTTAATCTTGTACAGCTCCTCCTTAATCTTGTACAGCTTCTCTCTGAGCCTCGGTTTCTCCAAATGTCATCTCAGATGTTATGGCCTCCTCTGCTACATCCTCCACTTGCCTTTCAAAGCCTGGCTCCATAGCTTCATTGTCAGGAACCCTTCCTTGAGCTGCCCTCTCCTGCCTCCTTCCTACCTTCCTGCCTCTCACCTCTGGGCCCAACAACCTTCCACTTAAGCCCAACTCCCTTAGGTCTTGACTTGTACTGTGAGACACATCCCAAGCCAAGGGCCTCAGTTGAGTCACCTTTGGTCCCTCCTATAAGCACTTTACACACAGTAGATTTTTAACAAACATTCTGTTAGTGACTTAATGTGGTCTAATGGACAGATGGATGGATGCCTAAAAGGATATGGCTGCTTTGTCTGCTGATTAATCTTCTGGTCAAAACTCCTCTCCATAAAAAGCCTCCTGGATTAATTCTCAGCCACAACTCAGTCTTCAACAACTCAGCCAAAACCTTAAGGCTCCCAGTCCTGCCCCGCTGCCCTGTTCCCTCACAAAGGCTCCTCCAGGTGCTACCTTACTTTACCCAACAGATTCCAGCACCACGGGCCTGGCCTGGCTGTCCAAAGAGCTTGGACCCTGCCACTTGGCCTTAGTTACCCATTCTCCTGGGGACAAAGGATACTCTGTGAAACACCCTGGAACTTGTCTGCCACAGAAAACCCCACAAAAGTCTCCATAGGGTTCCTGCAGGTCACAGAATTCAGGGCTCACAGGCTCAGAGAGGGGAGGCGCCCAGAAGACCCAAAGCCTCGCACTTCGACCCACCCTGCAATGTGCATATGCAAACACCCCAGTCATGAGAGAAGCAGAATCTCACCTTGAGGCTCCTCCAGTTTGCCCATGGTCTCCATCTGCTCCACCAGGTCATTCGAATTCCACTGGCTCATCCCGATGAGGATGGCATTCTTCCCCTCAGCCACCTCCTCTATGGAAAGAGCAAAGATGGGCATGAGCAGGAAGGGCAGGGTATAGGTAGTCCTGACAGGAGCTTATACCTGAGTGAGGACTTAGGTCTTCCTTTGACTCGAAGGGTCTGTAGTTATGACAGGAACAAGGCATTCAGGAATTTTTCATTGAAAGAAAGTCATGAGAGAGGCTGAAGCCCCACAGAAGGTTCCATTTCTAGACCAAAGAGAGAGATTTCTTGAAAGGAAGTGTGCTTGGGGATGGAGGCAAGTGTTCTTGCCACCGCTAGCAGTTTTTCTTTGGGTAAGTACCGTGCCTTTGGAGCTTCAGTTTTCCCATCAGTAACATGGGACAGGAAGTGTCTCACTCATAGAAATGTTATGAGGACTAAACCAGCTAATGGATGTAAAGGTCTTGGTGCATAGAGGGTGATCATAAGCGAGAGAGATCACGGTTATTTCTTCACACGAGAAGTGAATTGCCATCAGTATTTGAGTGGACCTGGCTTTGAGTGGGGCAGGGGCCGCTCTAGAGTAACTGGAAGAGCAGAAGACTTCTGCTCTAAGTGAGCCTTGAGCTGTGTGGAACCCTTAGCCCACGTCATAACATTACGAACTTCTTAATGACTTCATTCCCCATCCCTAGTCCTCACCTCAACCCTGTCTGTATCCTTGCTCTTTCCCAGTCTGAGCTTGGTGATTACTCTGAAAAAAAAATGATGGGGCCACATTCCCTAACCACGCTAAATACAGGTCGCTGTGTCCCACACATCTGGTGTAGTCCCTCATGCCACAAAGGGGCATTTCCTCAAGAACAAACCCACAGAAGTGGCCCCCCTCTCTCCTTGAAGGGCCTTCCTGGTAAAGAGCTTCGTGTCCTCCCTTGTAAAATAGACATTAAAGAAGAGTGGTGATGACAAATACGAATCCTCAAGTTCATGATAACCAAAAATAAAGCGACAAGACCCATTTCACTGCCAAAGAACTTTATAGAGCAGGTGGGACCAATATGGTGAATCCGAAGCTTGGGGCACTGTCCAGAGTTCTGAATTCTCCTAGAACTCAGTAATCCAGGACCAATGTCTGGCTGGGGTCTGGATGATGATGACGATGATGATGATGATGATGATGATGATGATGATGATGATGGTGGTGGCGGTGGTGATGGTAGTGGTGGTGGTGGTGGTGATGATGATGGTGCTGATGATTCCTGAGTTATTGATTTATTTTATTGTTTTAATAACACATCAAATCCTTACCATGCACTGAGATTATTATAGGTGCCTTTAAAATATTAATTCACTTAATTTTCAAAAAATGCTAAAAAAAAAAAAAAAGGTACAATTATTATTATCTCCAGGTTAGGCATGGAGTAGTTCAGGAATTTTCCCAATGTCACTGTCTAAAGCCAGAATTGAAACCTAGATATACTATTTCAAGAGTCCTTAAATCTGCCCAGCTGGTGTCACTCAGTAGCTGAGCATTGATTGACCCATGCACCAAGAGGTTGCTGCTTCAACTAGGTCAGGGCACATGCCCAGGTTGTGGGCCTGATCCCCAATGGGGGGCATGCTGGAGGCAACCAATTGATGTTTCTCTCTTATTTATGTTTCTATCACTCTCTCCCTTTCTCTCTAAAATCAATAAAATCATTTTTTAAGAGTCCTATAATCTTGTCCTCCCAAAGGCCTGCCATGAGCATCCTATATTGGCTTCCCAACATTCCAGCCAAGCACCACTTATACCCAGGCAATTTATTCAGTGTGGTGTGTTCCATCTGGACACCAGTGTATACCTCTTAGCAGCACTGGGCTCTAGGCAGAGGCCTGACCAGGTCCCAGTCCAGAGAGCACTACATGTGAGCTGTGCTTTGCATATATCCCTAAGCTCTTCCTGTGTTTTTTTCCCCCTTAAGTGGGAATAACAACTCCAGTTTTACAACTCTGTCTATCAAGATGCCATGAGGACAATGACATACTAAATTTGCAAAAGCTACACAAGCCAAAATGCTGTGAACAAACATCAGGTAGTATTATTCTGGGGGAATCAGGACACCAAGGGATAAGAGCTCAGTTCAGTGTTATGTTGACTCTTTCCAATCCTCCTAGATATATGGCCTTTAACAATAGCGTAGCTTTCTGAGCGTCAGTTTTTCCATCTATAAAATGACATTCCAGTCATGGCAATGTCACAGGATTGCCGTGAGGCTTAAATGAGACAATGAAGGTAAAGTGTTTACACAATAACAGCACAGCAGTGGGTATCAGCACATGAAGATGATGGTCCATCATCACCTCCACCCCAGAGAATGTGGTGTATGCCCCAACATTCCCCACAAATGCTGTGTTTTGCCCCTGTGACCCTGCCCCAGACCCAGATGGGGTAATCAGCCTGTAGCCCACTGTGAGTGCCTCTGTCTCCTGGCTCTCTGTTGCCCTCTTGTTCATTCAAGCATTCTTTCTACAGTGAGTGGACTCCTGAGTACCTACTGTGTGCAGTGTGACATGACCTCTACCCTATTTTATGAAAAAAATAAACACAAGACTAAATAACTCTGGTGCAGGAAGATGAGCATGCTGCGGGTCCTGGTCCAATGCCCGGTATGCAACAGGTGCTCAATAGGTGCTTACATATCCTAGCTCTTGTTTTTCCTACAATGTGTAAGCCCTATTCTTGGGGTGTGTCTGAGGCTGTCAGAACTGGAGGGTCTTCCCAGGCTCTGAGGTCGGAGCACACCCACTTCTGCACTATCTTCGGCTTCTTTCCTCTCTTCCTAGTTTTGTGAATGACCCGCCTCCATCTTTCCCTTTTGGTCTTTTGTCTGTCTTTCTAGTAGAGGTGTCTTCCTCGCCAACTCCCATCGTGTTCCTCTATGCTGGGCATCTGGTCCTGTCCCACTCAGATCGGATCTTACCAGATCCTTCCATTGATCTCTGTGCCTCTCGGTCCTTGCATTTCTCTGTGTCTCCCAGGCTCCCAAGTGCTCTTGGCCCCATCTGTCCCTCTCGCTGGATGGACCTCAGTCATGCTCCACACTCTTTGCTCTTCCTCTCTCTTTATCCCGGCATCTGTCTCTCTCTTCTCTCTGGGAAGATGTCTTTGTCTTGATCGCTCTCACTCTCTGGGTTTCTCTTTCTTTCTCTGGGTCCTGCCCCTCAGGACCTCTCTGCCCATGCAGGTCTGTCCTGTTTTCTCTGGTCTCTCTCTCCTCCTGAATCACTGTCTGTCTTTCAATCCTCTCTGGTTCTCTGGTGTGTGTGTGGGTGTGTGTGTGTGTGGGTGTGTGTGTCCCTCTCTCTAACCCTCTCTGGTCTCTCTCTCTCTCTCTCTCTCTCTCTCTCTCTCTCTCTCTCTGCTTTCTCATCTTTTCCCTGACTTCCTTACTCTCCCTACTCCTCCACCACATCCCTGTCTCTCTAGCTGCTCCCCACCCTCCCTTCTCTGTCCCCTGCTCTCAACACTCAGCCTTCAGATTCTCACTATATTCCCTGAGAGGCAGTGAGAACACACACACACACACACACACACACACACACACACACACACGATTGCTCCTTTCGGAGTCATTCAGGCAAATCAGAGCTCCAGGTCTCCGCTCTACTTCCCCTCACCACGGTACGTGCCTCCGCATCAGGGCCCACAGAAGCCACAAATGGCTTCTCTGGATAAATGTCCTGGTTATTGATTTTGCTTTTCGGCTTCTGGCGAGTGTTCCCTGCACACTAATTCTCATCCCTGGTGGCCTCCAGTGTGGACACAGCTTTTGCATCTATGTCGCTCCAACTGAGAGCCCAGTCCCTGCCCAGACTAGGTGTCAGGCTAAATCCCATCCAGAGGCACCACAACCCACCCTGGACCCCACTCTGACTCCAACCCTGGCCAAAGCCTGGGTATACCCCTTTAAGCACAACCTCCGGGGCTGTAAGGAAAGCCTTTCCTCCTCGCAGGCCTGTTTCTGCTGGATCCAGGGTTCTTCAGAGCAGGCAACCTCCTTGCCCCACTCCAGGAAGAGGTCACCTCCGGCTCATGGGGAGAGGGCATGTCACCTTCTGCAGTTGGTCCGTCCAACACCAAGCATCACCATGATGCCAGCTTTTCCGAGGACCTGGAGGTGCATTGCTCTGGGCCTCCAGGAGACAAGACCGCTACCCCTCCCTATAGCTGTTTGACACCGGCCATCCCCTAGCCCACAGCCATCACCCCTACTCTCTCTTCACTGCAGTTGAAAGGACCCACATTCTGCCACCGTGAAGCTGAAGCTGCCTTTCGGAATATCGATTTTAAACTGTTAAGCAAAACTCAGACGGAACCTTCGGCCCACCCCCTTTCCTGCCCGAGAGATTCAGACACACAAACCTGCTTCAGGAAAGAGAGTTTAGGGTGTCACCTTAGCCTAACTTGCATTAAATATGGTAAACAGAGGGCCTGTTAGCTAGGTACCCCGTGTCCCATTATCTCTGAGTCATTTAGAAAGGCTGTGCCTGCCATGCGCCTTCCATCCTCCTTCCACTCCCTGCAAATGGCCCATTCTGCTTCTGAGATCTATACCCTGTCCCCTCCCCCCTCCCCCCCCCCCACACCCCTTCCAACCTTCTCCTTTGTCCAAACATGTCATATGTGCCCAGGGTTGCCTCTCTGTCTTTGGAATTTTTATGGAATTATCTTGCCCATGTAAACTCCTCATGCACATGTTCTGAGGCTACTGTGTCATGCCTGCTCTCCTGCCCCCTCCTGGGGCAGTGGACTGACAACACTAAGTGGGCACCCCCTTGCTCCCTCTTGGCACATGAGCCATTCTGCTCATTCTTCCGGTAAAAGCTTTGCGCTGGCTGTGCCCACTGTCCAGAATACTGTTCCCCCAGATACTCAGGTGGTTCATTTCTTGTTATTCAGTTCTCAGCTCAAGGCCATATGTGAAGGCTTCTTACCATAGCTGTGTCACATTTCCTTATGTTGTACTGGAGGGAGTTCCCCCATTTTTTACACAGTATTACTGAGATGTAGTGACATTTAATCAAGTATACACATTTTAAATGTACCATTTGAGGGAGACCTCTCTATTATTTACTAGTTGGGATGCTGCCTAATTCAAATGAAAAGCAGAATGCACAACTTGATAATTTTTGACATGTGGACACACCTGTGAAACCGTCACCCCAATGGAGACAGTGAATATGTGTCCATCCCCTCAGCAGTTTTCTCTGGTCCCTTTTTAGCCCTCCTTCCTGCCCCAGGCAACCACTGATCTGCTCCTGTCACTACGGAGTTGTTTGCATTTTCTAGAGTTTTATATAAATGGAATCATACAATATGTACTCTTTCTCCATCTGACTCCTTTTACTCAGCTTGCTTATATTTGAGATTCACCCACGTGATGCATGTATCCGTGGTTCATTCCCTCTTGCAGCCGAGTAGCATTTCATCGCATGAACGTTTATCTGTTCACCCCCCGATGTACATTTGAGTTGTTTTTGGTTCAGAGCTATAACGAATGAAGCTGCTATGAACACTCATGGACATGTCCCAGGTGAAAGCTGCATTCTTTCCTCTTGGGTCAATTACCTAGGATTGGAAGGGCCGGCTCATGTGGCAGTTAACTTTGATTGACTTTTTAAGAAGCTGCAGCCCACTTTCTGAAATGGTTGCACCATTGTACATTCCCATCAGCAGAGTTTGAAAGTTCTGTTTCCTCTGTATCCTGTTCAGTTTTTTAAAATAATTTTTTATTGATTTCAGAGGGGGAGAGAGAGACAGAAACATCAATGATGAGAAAGAATCATTGATCTGCTGCCTCCTGCATGCCCCCTGTTGGAGATCAAACCTACAACCTGAGGAATGTGTCCTGACTGGAAATCAAACCATGACCTTGTGATTCATAGGTTGATGCTCAGCTACTGAGCTACACCAGCTGGGCCTGATCAGTTGTTTTAATGAGCTGTCATAATAGGTGTGTAGTGGTATCTCACGGTTTTAATTGCATTTGATGGCTAATGATGCTGAGCATATTTTAATTTTTTTGTCATTCATGCATATTTTTGGTGAGGTGTCTGTTCCTTTACGCTAATTTATTTATGCTAATTATCAATATAATTTACATGCTTGTATATTGTCTTACCACCACTGCCCATCGCCACTAAAGTGCAGGCTCCAGAAGGGCTGGGACAGGACTTACTTGCCCCTGGGTCCCCAACACCTGGAATCCTACCTGGTGCTTGATGGGCAGATACTCTATAAACTTGAAAGAGTGGATGAATGTGTCTGATTTCTGGCTCCTGTTCTCTCTGACTCTGTGGGAGCCTGAGCAGGTTGCCCAATTCTCTGGCTCCATTTTCCCAGCCTGAAAACTGGGGATAGGCTGTCAAACTCAAAACCCCGAGGGCCCCCAGCTGTGAGATGGCCTAGGTTTCAGGCACATCCCCTCACTCTGCCCTCCAACCTTGGTGGACCAGGCCATGGCTCCCCAGATGTCCTTTCACTGTATGGACAGGACAGGGAGTGGCAGCTGGTCTGGTCTGGAGCCTGGACCCCATCAGACACCCTGCAGCATCTAATCAGGGGCATCAGCCACCCCCCACCCCGGCTTGCTTCCTTGACCCATACACCTGCCTGACTAAGCCCAATCCCTCCTGTGCCTTTCATATACCACCAGAGGCCCAGAGCCTAAGAGCCTCCCCTCAGCTACTAGACCATGGGCTGTGAGGGTCTCTCATCCCACCTGGCAACCCAGCCCTGGGCCGCAGGCTGGAGATTAAGGAAGAAAGGAAGGAAAAAGCCCATATTTCAGGAATTATGATAAGTCAAAGAAAAAGGCCTGACATGGCCACTCAACTCCTGGGTTCCAGCCCCTTCATCCCCACCCTGGTGTGTGAACTTGGGAGGTCCCTTCCATGGTCGGGCCCCAGTTTCCCCATCATGCACTGAGGAGGAGGAAATGGTGTCCCAGGGGCCTGTTCAGTGCTGACAACTGCCAGTACAGTCCCACTGGAGTGGGAAGGCTGAGGCAGGAGGATGCAGGGCCTGCTCAGTTGAGGATAGAGACCACCAGGGCTCAGCCTGGCTGGAGAAAGAAGGCCAGGGAGGTGCCCTTCAAGGAATGCCCAGGAAACTGGACACCCATGGCCGGGCCCGTATGCAGAAAGAGCAGGGCAGGTGAGGCCTGGACCAGCTCCTGGGAGCAGAGAAGAAGGATGGCTTTGCCCCCTACTGCCCTGAGCCAAGGAAACATGCAGAGGCCTTGTCCAGGGAGGCCACACGGAGCAGACAGGTGGCAATCAGAACTAAAGAGGATTCCCTGGCCTGTGGAGCAGCACCTGTGGCTGAGGACTAGGGATGCTCTGCAAGGGCGAGGGAGGAGGGAGCAGAGACATGAAGCTGGTGGGGAGTGCCGAGAGGTGGAGAACCAGCAAAGAGACAGAGAGTCTGGAATTCTGGGACAGTGAAAAGAAGGAAACACAGTGTGGGGAGTGAGAAGGAAGAGATGAAGGTGGAGGGGCCTCAGCCAAAACTGATTTGGCTCAGTGGATAGAGCATCGGCCTGCAGACTGAAGGGTCCCAGGTTCAACTCCAGTCAAGGGCATGTACCTTGGTTGCGGGCACATCACCAGTGGGGGGTGTGCAAGAGGTAGCTGATCGATGATTCTCTCTCATCAATGTTTCTATCTCTCTCCCTTCCTCTCTGTAAAAAATCAATAAAATATATTTTAAAGAAGAAGAAGAAGGAGAAGAAGGAGGAGGAGGAGGAAGAAGAGATGATGATGATGATGATGGAGGGGCCTCCAATGAGAGAGGGGTGAAAGATGAGGCCAATTTTGGAACCGCAGAGTAAGCCGTGAGGTCCTGGGAGGGGAAGACTGGGAGCTGAAGGAGGCAGTGGTCAGCAGGGAGGAGAGCAGACGTGTCCACAGCTGCTCGCAGGGGAAGGAGGTGAGCAGGGCCCCGAGGGATGAAGGTGGTGCCTCTGCAGCAAGCCATCTTGTCATCTGGGAATGCGAGCCCTGAGGCACTCCCAAAATACTTTAAATAAATGTGCTACACGCATCAAAATATTGAAGCCATTGTTGTCACACTGCGGCTCAGTTGCTATGGAGGGACTCGGCTCCAGTGGGAGACAGGAAATGAGCCCCAAATGGGCTGGTTTAAAGTTGGCATCAGGGAGAGGGTTCTCTGCCCAGAGCCCAGCATGAGGGAGGCTGGAGCCAGACAGCATCCCACTGCCCAGCTGTGCTTCCCCAAAATCACCTGGACCGGGTATTCTCTGTTTCCGGAGACACAGAGCTAATGGGGAAACTGTGGCCCAGAGAAGGGAAAAGACTTGCCCAAGATCACCAGCGAGGCAATGGTGTGGGTAAGCCCATGTCCCAAGTGTGCTGCTCTGGGCCCAGATGTCTTCCCAGCACAGTGGCTTCTCCTTCAAGACCCCGTTTTGCCAAGCATTTCACCATTGGCTCTGTCTCTGAAGGAAGTTAACCCCCCAGGTACGGCGACTTCCCACCGTGGGTCAAGCCAGCCAGCTGAGAAGCGGGGACCCTCCTGGGCCAGAGAAGAGGCCCTTGTTCACTTCGCCCACTTGCACACAGCACCGGTAAGCACTCCTGAGAGGGTCCTCTCTCTTGGACTCCTCTGAGCACTCCTGTGAGGGTCCTTTCTCCTGAATTCCAGACAGATGCCGCCTCCTTGGTCCTACGCCTGCGCTCCAAGCCTTTGCTCAGGCCTATCCCTCTGCCTGAAGTACCCACCCCATTCGGTACCCACTTATCCAGTTTCTACAGAGCTGCTTATTCTTCCATCCCCGCTTACAGAATGCCCCCAGCTATGTCCTGGGTGCTGGCATGCACTCAGCCCTGGGTACACACCCAGCTATGTCCTGGGTGCTGGCATGCACTCAGCCCTGGGTACACACCTGACATCCTGCCCACCACCGTCTCTCCTCTGAACGGCTGCATCAGGCTCCTAACAGGCCCTGCCTCCATCGCCGATCCCCTGCCATCCCTGGGCTAGCCCTATAAGCCACTTTCTGGATCTCAGGCAATGTCTTCTCCCTCTTCCCATGGCTCCCTATCTCCCTGCCGCGAAGACCCCCTTCAGTTCCCCATCTTTCCTGCTTCAGCCCCATCTTGCCTACCGTGTCCTGGCTAGAGGCCCCTTGTCCTACTGCTCACCTGGCCTCCTTTTCCCCTCTGTTCTGCAGAGGATGTTAACAACCCCCCAGCCCTAACCCAGTTAGCTGCCCCTGTCATAACTCTGAATTAACACCTGGCACTTTCTCCTCACTGGCATTAGTCCCCATTCTGATTGCCTTTCCCTTTGTGAAACTGTTCAATGTTTGCCTCTCCCATTGGACTTGGAAGCTTGATGGGGGCATGGCCATGCTTTGAGTTTCCCACAGCTCCTGGGACATTCGAGGGGCTCAGCAAGCATCTCAAAGAGTGAGTGAGTGAGAGAGCAAATGCTGAGCCCAGCCCTCAGGGGCCCCCAGACTGAGTGAGTGGAACTGAGTGTCTGAGTGGGGAGAGAATCTAACCCCCAACAGAGATTCCTCCTTGGGGCTTCCAGAAAGATCAGCCAGCAATGATGGGAGGACACCAGTTCACTCACCTCTTGCATCAAAGAATTCATCATCCGAGCTCTCCACGGAGTCGCTGAGGACATTTCGAAGGTGCCAGGGGGCACTGCCGCCCGGAGTGGGGCCACCTGCCAAAGGGAACATACCTGTTAACCAAGCCTGAGGCCAGCGTGAAGGAGGTAAACCGGGACGGCCCTGGAGCGAGGGCCCGTTGGCGTCCTGCATGTCTCTGCCCTCTCCCCGCGGGGGCTCAGACCTCACAGGGCCCTCCCACGGCTCACACTTTCAGGTCAGCCCACACCTTTCTGACACAGCGCAGCGGGGCGACAAGTGTGCCCATCTTCTGTGCCCTCACACGGAGCCGGGGGCAGTTAGGAGAGGGTCAGGGTGACAGTGCATCAGGAAGCATAAGGAAACAAATGCTCTCAGCGGCTTAGGACAACCATGGCTCTTTTCTCACTCACACACACTGGCTAGAAGGGGCTTGTCCATGCTGGTCACCTGGTGATGCCATTGTCTCCAAAGGAGACCCCAAAGCCTGCTGAAGCCTGAGAGGAGAGCACAAAAAGTCACCCCAGTCACAGATGCTCCTTCCTGCAGGAGGCGCAGTGCTGCACGCACTTCATTGGCCGAAGCTAGTCAGTGGCCACACCCAGCTTCAGGAGAGGGAGGCCAGGCCAGGCCAGGGCTGCAGCCTGGGGAGAGCCATCCCCCCACTAATGAAGGGGCCTGAGCTTGAGCTCTGCCCCAGCTCTGTCACATGCAAGCCTATCCCTTTCCAGACGGCAGCCTCGGTTTCCGCAACTATAGAAAACTGGCAACAATCCTAAATTGCAACCATCAGAAATAGTGCGTGTTTATAGCCTGTATCTCAGGAGGCTCCGTCATGGCAATTGCTGTTGTTCTTCATATCTACAGAGGCCAGGGCGTGGGCGGAGGGGTTCTCTGAACAGGGAGGAGCAAGGGCACACAGAGAATGTGGCCCCTTCCCTGAACTCGGCCCCAACCCCTCTCCAGCCCCAGAACCAGGGAGGGGAAAGCCAGCGGCAGAGCTGGAGGAAGGAGCCTCTCTCCCACCCCCTTCGCCTGCCCCTGCCACAGGCACTTGGGGACTGGCATGCAACCAGCTGGTGCCCAGCACAGCCTCGAACCTCTCCGCATGCTCTCTGGACACGTGAAATGCTGGGGGTTGCAGATGGAGTAAAATCTAATTGTAAAAATTAAAGCCATGAACGTGTTGGAAGGAAATTGACCTGGTAATTTTCCTGAGGAAGTACACAAAGACGGAAGTACACAGTTGATTGTCTCCGCCTTCTGGTAACCACAAAAAACTGGAAGACATGCCAGAGGGGACTGGACGTCCGTTCAAATGCCATCATGGGAGAGTTCTTTGCAAGGCTTCGAAAAATAAAGTGTCCTCCCCGCCTCCCTTAGGTATTGACATGGAAAGATGCCCACGGGGTCTGGTTAGGAGAGAAAGGTTGCAGGTGGATCCCAGAAGCGTGGGTTCCTGTGGGCCTCACTTTGGAAAGACACACTCCTATCTGCACATTGAGGATAGGAGCAGTATGTTCATTAAGAGCTCGGGCCCTGAGGTTGAAGGGGCCTGGATTTAGGCTCAGGCCTCGCCGCTTGGAAACTGTGATGACAGGTAAGGCCCTTCATCTCTCTGGGCCTCAGTGTCCTCAGCTACAAAGGGAGGATAGCTCCTACCTGCCTCAGGAACCTGTTGTAAAGATTAACTAACATGCCCTGACCGGTGTGGCTCAGTGGATAGAGCATCAGCCTGCGGACTGAAGGGTCCCAGGTGCGATTCCAGTCAAGGGCATGTACCTTGGTTGTGGGCACATCCCCAGTAGGGAGGTAAGCAGGAGGCAGCTGATCGATGTTTCTCTCTCATGGTTGTTTCTAACTCTCTATCCCTCTCCCTTCCTCTCTATAAAAAAACCAATAAAATATATTTAAAAAATAAAAAAAAGATTAACTAACATGCCTCGCAGTGCCTAGCATACAGCAAGTGTTCTCAACAATAATTACTGTACAAACATACTTGCAGATGCATTCACATGTCTGGAGGACATGCACCAAAAGTGTCAATAGAGATTATCTCTTCTGAGTAGCATTTGATTAGAAGAGGCAGGGGAAACTCCGTTTTTACACCACACATGTCGTTTCATATGATTATCGATTTTATGAATTCATCTTCTGTTATCAACTCTAAGGTGCACATTTTTCACACGTTATCATCTTTAAACTTGGGGTGCATCTTACACGAGAGTGTGTCATCATCGAGCCGGCCTTGGTCATTGTTTCTCAGGGACCTTATAACCGGTGCATCTTATAATTGGTTGTGTCTTAGATGCAACGAAAAGCAGTGAAACCCCCAGGCACACAGCGTACATCTTCCCTGAGGCTTCAGCCCCGGCCACCAAGCGCACGTGTCCTGTCTGCAGAGAGACCCGGGCTCCTGTATCAGCAAAGCCCCTGCCTCAGTTTCCTCATAGGTACACTGAACACCTTGGCAGAGACAGTCCCTTGAAATTTTTTAACTCTGACTCATGTTTGCGGAGCCCACCTGGAACCATAACCATCTGGCATCCCTCCCCCACCACAGCTACAGTTCACATGATGATGAAGTCCTTGGAGAACCCACTGCGGCTTCTGCTCACCACGCCCTGTCGCCCTGCAGCCTGCCAGCACTGTTCCCGCCCTGAGCCCAGATCTCAGAACATGAACCGCTCCTGAAGCAAGAGGCCAGCCCAGGGCCTTGGCCCTCCTGCCAGTCCCTCCTGCCCCACCCACCGCAAGCTGCCAAAACCGCACCCAGCGGGAACTCCGTGGCTTGGAGCCAGGCAAAAGCATGTTCTGAGACACAGAAAGGGCAGAAGCCACAGGGAACGCTGACCAGGAGTCACCTCTGGGTGCAAAGCCGGATCTTCCCCGCACTCCCCATGAGGACCCTCTAAGCTTTTGATTCTCACCCACCAGTGTGGACAGCTTGACAGGCTGGTCAGCAACTTCCTACCCTTGGGACCTTGATTTGCTGGAAGGGAGTTTGAGAATCCAGATGCACTGTAACTGAGTATTTCTAATGAGGTTATGGGACTGTTTCCCAAACAAACGTGGAAGAGATCTGAGCTAGTGTAATTAGACAAGAACCAGAAATAATAAGTATATGTATATTGAAGTAGAAAATAAAACTGCCTTTATTCTCAGGTGGCATAATAGTCAATGTAGAAGATAAAAAAATCTACAACATCTATTTTAAAACCCCATTAAAACCAATCATTGAGTATAGCAAGATCCCAAGACACAAGATTGATAGGCAAAAGTCAGTTTCACTCCTATATCCCAATGAGCCGTTAGAATTTGAAACTTAAAAACCAACACCATTTACAATAGCACACAAAAATCAACAAAGTGAAAAGGAGTGTGAGATATAAATCAAATGTATGTGCAGGATTCTGTGACTCAAAAAATACAATCGTTTAAATGTAACTTCTTGCTGAAACCAGTTTGGCTCAGTGGATAGAGCGTCGGCCTGCAGACTGAAAGGTCCCAGGTTCGATTCCGGTCAAGGGCATGTACCTTGGTTGCGGGCACATACCCAGTGGGGGGTGTGCAAGAGGCAGCTGATTGATGTTTCTAACTCTCATTCCCTCTTCCTTCCTCTCTGTGAAAAATCAATAAAATATAATTAATAAATAAATAAATGAATGTAACTTCTTTCTGAATTTACATTTACATGTTTTCTCAAGCAACAGATACTAAAGGTATAAAAGCTATCACACATTCTTTAACACACAAATATCCCTTGCTGTCCACATCTGCTCCGTTCCTACGAATCAAGAACCTGGAGGATCAGGACAGTCCCATTATCCTCACCTACTTGGCTCCTGAGTGCTGGGTGGAGAGCAGCAAGCGCTGAAGTGGTGACAGGTTCATCTGAAGGCTCATCTGAGTCTATTTGGTCCCTGAGTTTGAAGAGCTAGGGTTCAGGGAGAAGTTCCTGGCTATGGTGACCCTCATACCTGTACAGTACACACTCCACCCACGAACAGAGAAGAGGACATTCCTGCCAACCTCCCCCTCACAAACAGCATGTGCGAGACAGAGCCTGAGGGAGAGAGGAGAGAAAGCTCTCCCCCCACCGCATCCATCTCTTCAGGCCATTGTCCCAGGCCTCTGCAGCACTGGGGCCTGGGTGCTGCGCTGGCCACTAGCGGCGTCCCAGCGGGAGAACCAGGCAGGTGGAGGCTGCAGGGAGGCCAGTTCAGCTTGAACTGAAAGAGATGTTTGCCTGGCTAGCGGCTGACAAAGGGGGAAGGGTTTTGGAGTGTCAAAGAGATCTGCCCATCACACAGGCGCTGTGCTAGGTTTGGGAAATATTAGGGATAAAGTGGGGTCCTCACAAGGGGAGAGGAGAGTTGCTGGGGGAGGCAGACCTGGAGAAGGGACCCTCGAGGGTGATTTCAGCAGTTGAAAGTGCTATGAGGAAGAGAAAACCTCCCCCTTCTTATCTCCACCCTGTCCTCCCTCAAGCCGAAGGGAAGGCCGGTGTGAACACGTGGGTCTGTACACCCAGGTGAGAAGGGGCAGTGAGCCCCAGGCATAAGCACACTCTCCTGCTTGAGTTACAAATGCTGGACTCACGCGGTGCCTCCTTCCCAATGACCAGCCACCTGACTGCTGACTCTTCTTTGTGCTCAAAATCTGTATGTGAATTCCTTTTCGCAAAAGCACCTTTTATCTTGCTTACTGCCATCCTCCTTGTTTTCAAAAGGCACTGGTTTTTATGTTACTTATTTGTTATTGTTAATCCTCACCCAAGGATATTTTTCCCAGTGGAAGGGAGGGACAAAGAAGGAGGGAGGGAGGGAGGGAGGGAGGGAGGGAGGGAAGGAGGGAGGGAGGGAGAGAGAGAGAGAGAGAGAGAGAGAGAGAGAGAGAGAGAGAGAGAGAGAGAGAGAGAGAAATGTCGATGTGAAAGATGTGAGAGACATGAATGGGTTGCTTCCCACATGAGCCAGGCAGCAAACCTGCAACTAGGCACGTGCCCTTGACCGAGAACCCGCAACCCTTCCATGCGTGGGCTAATGCCCTAACCACTGGGCACACCAACCAGGGT